TGGACATATATGTATAGAATCTTCAAATCATACTTTTATTATGTATGAATGTTTGTTCATTCAAATAATTTTTAAAATTTGAATTTAATTTTGTTAAGAATTTACTATAATCGTTGAAATATNCTCTGATTCCATCCATGAGCCACTGGTAGGGAGCAATTTTAACTAGGTGGATTGTTTTAATATTTAAAAAGTAAAGACTATTTTATGTTATTTTTATGTACGTTTCTTCGCAAAACTATATTTATTTATAATTTTCTTTAAAAGTATATTCATACAATTGAATATTTTGTACCAGGTATGTATAATCGTATATCCATCACACATTTTATTTTAACAAGTAAGTTTTTTTATAAGTTTATTTTTAATTTTAGCCCTTCATGGGCTAAAATTAGCTAGCCCATGGTGCTAGCAATTTAGAATGTAATGGTGATATTGAAAATTTATTTCTAAAAAGTTTTGGCTCAAGACCATATAATGAAAAAGAAAACATTATTAAAAGAGAAAGACCAATGCCTAAATTAAATATAAATATGTCAACAAAAAAATTTGTCTGACATTTTCACAATAAAATTTATGAAGATATAAAATGGCTTTGTGAATGCATAGAAATGAAAAAATTGTTTTGTTGGCCTTGCCTACTATTTTCAAATAAAATTAGTGTGTGGAATAAGAACAGCTTTGAAGATTTAAATAATTTGAGTAAAGCTGGCAAAAGACATGAAAATTGTAAATGTCGCATCGATTCTCTTGTAAAATTGAAGCAATTTGGAAATCAAAGCTGAATAGAATTTAACATTAGTAAACAATATAAAATAAATATTGAGAATTATAACTTAATTACGGCTAATAGATATAACATATATTAATTTAGATATATTATATGTTTTTTATCAAAGCAAGAATTGGCATTTAGAGAGCATAGGGAATCTATTGAATCTAATAACAGAGGTTATTATTTGCTTATTTACTAAGTACATCAGATAATCTATTAAAAATACATTTAAATAAGTGGACGGATTTTACTGGCTTATTGAACAAATACAAATGGACCCCGACGTGCAATTAACTGATTGCCCCTATAAGTCGGCTTCTTACAGAAACACAGCTTCCCTATTATCAAATGTCACAGCACACCACTGTCAGTACATGGCTTCTTATTTCGTATCTAAAATCATGTGATAATATAATGTTAGTCTGACTACCATGGATATACAGTAACTCACAAGCTATGTGCAGCTCTTCTAGACTCTTATTGCAGTTTCTATATACTTATACAATTTCTTTTTATAAACTTTGTACCTACTACTTAAACATAGCTTTTTATTAGTTTTCTGTAGTGTACTATCACATAGTGTAATATACACAGAGATTGTATGTGTAAGTCACAACTTAATCTTCAATAGGCAACTGAAAGCTTAAAGCACCAGTAAAGTAACAGTGATATTTAGTATAGTGTATTATCTATGGTATTTTAAGTATATATAAGGCATTCTCATATTTCTGATACAGAGTATGGCTCTTGTCATGATAAGGTTTGGTCATCCCTGCTTTATACTGTTGAAATTCTGAAATCATGTTTGATAATAAAAGCACAAGATGTAACAAAAACTATGAAAAAGTTCATAGTTTTTGGACATATATGTATAGAATCTTCAAATCATACTTTTATTATGTATGAATGTTTGTTCATTCAAATAATTTTTAAAATTTGAATTTAATTTTGTTAAGAATTTACTATAATCGTTGAAATATTTACTTTCAACTATTTTTTTACACAATTTATTTTATTAATACATCACAATATTATTTTTAACTAAATTTTTTTTTCACGTGAAAAGATATATAAAAAACATTTTAATTTTATTATTTCAAAATAATAACTCAGGCATAATGAAATGAATGGTGACTAGAATGATATTTTTTTATTAATTCAAATTTTATTCTTTTTGTAGAAGAAAAATCTCCTGATTTAACACAAATTAACTTTCTTATTCAAAATTAATATTTATTTCAGGTATCAAGAAGAAATTCTGAAGCAATTTTGTTTTATATAGAAAAGAACTAAAAATGTAAAATCATATAATAAAGTTACAGTGAATTTTAAAAAAATTCTTTGCTCATTTGATTTCATTTTTTTTTTATCACAGTTAGTTGTTGCTGTATTAAGGTAGGTATTTTTCTAGTTGATGTATTAAAACGTATGTTGTACTGATATGAAAAATTTTTTTCCCATTCACACAACTTTGTACATTTAAAAAAAATGCAATTATGAAATTAAGAATAATAATAAATTCTCAAATATATCTTGCTGTTGTCAAGTTAAAGATCTGTTTTTAATTTGGTTTTAAAAAAATTATTAAGCATTTACAGAAATGAAATTTATGTAAATCTTGATACTTTGCAAATTAATAACAAGATAATTACACTGACAATTAAAGAACAATTGCTATAAAATGAAGGTTACATAAAAAAGAACTTGCTTTAAGAATTAAATTTTATTGATAAATATTAAAATGTTAGATAAGTCAATCGTGTTTCTGTTAAACATTAAATTATATCATAGGCAAGTTCTCCCATTTTAGTCAGTTGTCCAAAATATCCCAAAAAAATGAATCGTCTGAAAAAAATGTTCATCAAAGGGTATATGGGATGATGCTCTGTTTCCTCGTAGGTGGCATTACTGTCACTAAAACATTTCAAATGGAAATTTGCGCATTCACATTTATCTGATACTTCAGCTACCTCTGTATATTAATAATAATAAATAATAGCAATAGTAATATCTTTATTGTACAAAAAAAATAAATTCAGAAGTTTATATAAATTTTATTTATATCAGCAAGTCACTGCATTGCACCAAGATGAAAAATTCAAAAGTTATTGCTTGCAGAGTTGCTATTGTAAATAAAATTCATACAAACTTTTGTGTTTTTTGTACAATAAAGATGATATTGGTATTATTAATATGCAGATTCAGAGGCAGCTACAGCCTGTCAGATATGAATGTGAGCACAGATCTATTGAACTAAAAAAAATTCCAATGTTCATAATTTCCAATAGATATATCATTTGACCAAAGTGTTCCAAATAAAAATTTTAATTTTTCCTCATAAAATTTGAAAATATAATATAAAAAGAAAAAGGAAACAAGGGGTCCATTTGTCATGTTCGTTTTAGCAATAATAGTGCCATCTTGTGTTCCTCTTGACACACTATTTTTTTCATAAGATGCATATTTTTTGTGATATTTAGATGACTGATTAAAATGGGGCACAATAATACTGTGTCTGTATACAGTATTATTGTGGTGGACTAAGTGGTTTATTTAAAATTTTTTTTGTGTAAAATGTTTGTTTTAAACAATTTGTGTTTATAATAAAATATAGATCCTATCTGAAAAGCAAATTTTATTTGTTTTTATTATAAGAATGATAGAGATGAAATATTTCCTAATTTATAAAATATATAGCAATGGTTAATTACTATTATTTAAATTATGAAAGTTTAAAATTTTTGTAGACAAATCTTAATTGTTTCATTCAATAGTACAGAATGAGTTGATAGGTCAAAATGATTTATTAATTTTACTGATATTTAGCAATTATGTATATATAAGATGATATATATGAATGTGTAATTAGGCTTGATTTGAAAAACGTGAATATGAACCAAAGCAAGATAAAATGTTGATTGTGTTGTTTCTAGTTTAAACTTTCCTAATAGTCAAATCTTGATACAGCACTACCCTTGTAAAGAACTAATAAAGACTTGTGTGAATGGATTTTCTTCCCATAAATGTTAGATACATTTAGTATCTATTGTTACTGAATTATACATTCCCTGTTGCAAATATCACCAAATCATATGGTTCAAATTTAAACTTGTATAGACCTTATTATTACATATTCTAATTGTTTTGAGCGATTTCAGTTTGTTACTACATTATTTAGGGTCAGTTTCTTAGGCAAACAAATGATGGTGCTAAATTGAAGTTGACTAAATACACAAAAGTAAAGAAAACTTTGCGATGATTAGTCAGATTATGCTATGTCATGCTACCTTGTAATTTTATTGTTTTTTATGGGAAAAGAGGGGTATTAATTTTGGAAGTTAATCATTTTTAACAACTAACTTTACACTTTTCTCCTCCCATATTTTAACTAATTACTACTACAATATTATAATTTTTATCATTAAGAAAGATTGTAAACATATTTATGCTTATTAAATAAGCATAAGTTTTTATGATGTTTTGCATCATTCAGTTTCCTAAATGATATATTTGTCAGAGTACTTTTAATACAGTTTTAAACTTAATTTTGATAGTTTCTTCATTAATTTAATTATTTTCAAAACATACATTGTAAAAATACAAAGTATTACAGACAATACAAATATGAATTCTTGTCTTTTCTTTTGTCCTCTTTCAACATCAAGGAACATAATCCACGCAGTGGAGTCGACCTTTCTAGACTCCGCTGTGTGGATCATGTTCCAGTGATGTTGAAAGAGGGCGAAGGAAAAGACAAGAATTCATATTCATATTGTCTGTAATTCTTTGTATTTTTACAATGTATTTTTTTGAAAATAATTATATTACGTTCTGGATTTTTAGAAAATTTTTTTTACAATGTAAATAATTTAATTCTGTTAATAGAATTTAATATTTTATCTGTCAATATAATAATTAAGCTTAAATCCATAAATTCTTATATATGTATTTAATGTGAAAATATTGCCTCATAACATGTATTGACTTTCGTTGATTGTAATTTATCTATTGCTACATTTTCTCTGTAATAGTAAAGTTCCAAAATAAATAAGTTAAAGTAAGAAAAAGTACTTGCCACTTATATTGTAATTATAAAATTGCTAGTTTTGTTGAAAAAATGTTTAAAGAATGTTTTGTCATGAGAATTTACACATTTTACTTGTCATGTGTCTGATTTCTAAAAGGAAGTAATGACAATTTATTCTGGTTTACCTGCTATTTTTAGAAAAGAGTATTCTCTCTTTGTGGGAGATCTGACTCCAGAAGTGGATGATTTAGAATTGTATAATTGTTTTTCATCTAGATATCCATCTGTCAAAGCAGCAAAAGGTAAAAAGTTTTATAGTGCTTTATCTATTTGAACATTTTATATTTCTAGTATTTTACTTATTATTTTTTCCTTTTATCAGTTGTATTGGATCAAGATGGAGTTAGTAAAGGTTATGGTTTTGTGAGGTTTACAAGTGAAATGGAATATCAGGCAGCTTTAGTCGAGATGCAGAATGCAGACGTGGTGGGTTCGAGACCCATTCGCGTCAGTGTAGCTACTCCAAAGAGGTAAGTACTGTTATGATCTATTAACAAAGCTAAAAAATTCTAGTTGCCATTTATCTTTTGAGCCTGAGTTTGGAAGTGTTTGTTTATTTTTTTGTTGTTCTTTGTTAAACTTTGCCTGAGTTATTTTGAAATTGAATTGATAAATATTGTGAATATAGATCAGTTTAAATAATCATACTAATTTATAATTTTAAAACATTAATAAATTTTGTATATATTTAACCCATCAGAAAAAAATGCCCTGTCTCTTTGATGATGAAAAATTCAAAAGTTATTGCTTGCAGAGTTGCTATTGTAAATAAAATTCATACAAACTTTTGTGTTTTTTGTACAATAAAGATGATATTGGTATTATTAATATGCAGATTCAGAGGCAGCTACAGCCTGTCAGATATGAATGTGAGCACAGATCTATTGAACTAAAAAAAATTCCAATGTTCATAATTTCCAATAGATATATCATTTGACCAAAGTGTTCCAAATAAAAATTTTAATTTTTCCTCATAAAATTTGAAAATATAATATAAAAAGAAAAAGGAAACAAGGGGTCCATTTGTCATGTTCGTTTTAGCAATAATAGTGCCATCTTGTGTTCCTCTTGACACACTATTTTTTTCATAAGATGCATATTTTTTGTGATATTTAGATGACTGATTAAAATGGGGCACAATAATACTGTGTCTGTATACAGTATTATTGTGGTGGACTAAGTGGTTTATTTAAAATTTTTTTTGTGTAAAATGTTTGTTTTAAACAATTTGTGTTTATAATAAAATATAGATCCTATCTGAAAAGCAAATTTTATTTGTTTTTATTATAAGAATGATAGAGATGAAATATTTCCTAATTTATAAAATATATAGCAATGGTTAATTACTATTATTTAAATTATGAAAGTTTAAAATTTTTGTAGACAAATCTTAATTGTTTCATTCAATAGTACAGAATGAGTTGATAGGTCAAAATGATTTATTAATTTTACTGATATTTAGCAATTATGTATATATAAGTTGATATATANTCACACCTGTACAGGAGAGAACAACAGGTACAATAAGCACTTTATCCATCCTCATATGAATTGGCTATTTCAGCATTGGACAGGTTTAATTGTAATTTGAATATTTAATAAAAAGGTATTATTAAAAATTTTTAGTCATCCTATTTGTGAATTGCTGGAAATTTATTCAGATTTACTTAAACTTGAAAATATTACTAGTTTACTCATCTAGACATTTTTCAGGGCGTTCACTCCAACTGTTCCAGGACAAGATTATTCAGCATATTATCAATATCAAACTGCTGCATATGACTATCAGAGTTATTATGCAGCTTGGCAAGGTTATCAACAGCAACAGCAGGCTGCAGCAGCAGCACAGCAGCAGCAACAGCCACAGCAGCAGCAGCAGCAGCAACCCGCCCAACAGTATTACTATACATACGATCAGTCATTGTATACCGCATATACAGATCCTCAGTATCAGCAGCATTTTCAACAGGTAATATCTTAATCTTACCCATAAGGTTTCCTTTATTTTGTGTATATATGTATACTGTATATATAAAACTGGTTTTTTTTCATTCGGCATTGTAGATGGTTGTAGAGAGAAACTATTGGGTTTAGAAAGCTCAAATTTTAAACTTAAGCCTTTCTCATTATCAATGAGGTACAGCAAAACTTCCTGATCGATAGATCAAAGTTCATTGGGGTATTCCATAGACCTATTCACTAGCATAAAAAATTTGTCCCAAAAAAAAAAATGTTAAAAATGACAGTTTGAATGTTACTGTGTTTATAATTTACAACAATTTGATTACAGATAAAATTTTTCTATTTATATAATTTATTTCCATGAGTAACCCTGCACGAACATTTTGATCAAAACAAACTGTTTTTTGACACAAGGAAATTTTTTTGCTTTAAAAAATTATAAGTACTTAAAATAAAATTAAAAATTTCCATCTGGTAGTAAATATGTGAAACACAGTGTGCAGAGTAATGTAGTGCCATCTATGAATGGAATGTTTTATAAAAATCATACGTTTTTAGATTGACAATAAATCATCAGGTAATTGTTATACGTATTTGCTTGACAATATATCATCAAATGATTGCATAAGGGTTAATTTATGATTATAAAAAATGAAATTGCATCAAAACAAATGAATTTTATTCAAAATGTTATTCAGAATAACAAAAGCTCAAATTTATGCAAATTAAAACTTTTTTAAACTTTTTTGATTTGGTGTATCAAAAGTGTCAATTGGTGATGCTTTCAGTTGTCACTGACTGAACTGTACCTCATTGTCTTATCTTGATGCAATAATACAATTATTAAACAAAACAACAATTGATATGCAAATAAAATCATCTGAGATGTAAAAAAAATTGGTCCAAGTAAAAACTTATGATAATTTAGATGACAGTCAAAATTTTTCTTGGGTGTTTACCTTTAGTAAAGATTAGCTTGGTGCTTCAAGCTTATCTTTACCAAAGAAAAACTTTAAGAAAAATTTTGATTGTTGTAAAATTTTACATCTCAGTGTTTTTCTTTGGATTTATATTGCCAAAAAAAAATTTTTGATCTGCAGTGGGACGTAAACGCACAACTTCTGCTTACTATGCAGATGCATTGCCACTTACACTACCAAATTTAATTAATTAATAATAAGAGAGAGATGGCACTTAAAATTTGCCTCTAGTACCAAATTACTTAGAATTTAATTATTAATAGTAGCAGTAAAATAGCCCAGTTCATTATGGCAATCATTTGGCCTTTATTTTGTTTCATATAAAATGTGGTGTGTTTTGAAAACAATTAATTAAGGTACAGGAAATTAAGGTAATTCTACTGTAAAATGTGTCCAGGTTCAATATACTGAATATATTTTACAGTAATATATTTGTGATTTGTATCTAGTTTTTTTTTCCTCTCTCCTCTCTCAGTTGATTTAGTTAGCAAAGAAATGACCACTAGAATTTTCACCATTTAGTTTCTTTACTTTCTTCTGTGGTTATTTGTAATCCAGGGATGCCACTATTAGGGTGCAGTCATGCTTTGCAGTTGTCTGTACAGCTTAAAATTACAATCTCATGGCTAAGTTTCTTGCAAAATCAATCACACTTAGAAATGAATCAAACAAATACATCCTTTGTCTTTTGTCAAAAAGAGAGCATTTTTAATTTTAATAGACATTTTACAGGAATTTGTGATTATGGATCAATTCTATTCATTGTTATTCCAGTTTTTTTATTGAAATTTGCTTCATTTTAAATAGTCATAATGACATAAACATGCAGATTGTTTGATTTAAGCTTTTAGGCTTCATACGATATTTAAGAAATTAAGTAAATAACAATATGAGCCTGCTGGTCTTATTATTGTAATTATCAGACTTATCACACATTTTCCGATTACTCTAGCACTCAGTATCCCATAATGCATTTTGACTTTCTATAGTCCTCTTCAGTCAAGTTACATACACAGTTTGACAATGTGGTATTGTAATTAAAACAAACAGAAAAATAAATTCATTACTCAGATAAACCAATGTATACATTACACCCACTATTATAACAATAACTATAAAAAACCTTAATAAAATTGCTGTTAATTTACCAAACACTGTCACCATACTTAATGTTAATTTTTCTACCTTACATATACTGTTGTGTGTCATTCAGTTCTTGATGTTATTTTCATTTTGGTATTTTCCTTATCTTCTTTTTCAAATCCATTATACTATAAAACAAAAAAACTGTCATACTTCACACCTTACTGTCTGTTGACCTCCATTTTATTATTATTATGTTGGGTTTTGTGAGTTATACTCGGTTCACACTGGTGGCTTGTACTATGCCGGACCAGAGTCAAGGCATAGCAACCAAAACAAAACTAAAATTAAATAAGTGTGTCAGTGTCTGTATTCAGGAATTTCCTAACAATGTGGCATGTATTCAATATAGTGGCCTTCTGTAGTGTGATGTATGTATTTCTACTCAATTGTAATGTTTCCAGGCTTTTATGTAGTGTGTGTGGTATCACACCTGTACAGGAGAGAACAACAGGTACAATAAGCACCCTATCCATCCTCCACAGATGCCTTATTTCCTGGGCGAGTTCTGTGTACTTGCTAATTTTTTCAGTGCATGTGTTTTGTACATTGTGAGTGTTTGGAATGGCTATGTCTATAATGTATGTGATTTTATTGTGTTTGTCAATGAGTGTGATGTCTGGTCTGTTGTGGTAAATTATTTTATCTGTGATTATGGCTCTGTTGTAGTACATTTTGTGCGTGTTGTTTTCCAATACTGTCTGTGGAATGTATTTGTAGTATGGTTTGTGAATGTCTACCAGTTTCAGTTTCTTTGCAAGCTCTTGGTGTATTATATTTGCTACTTGATTGTGTCTGTGTAAATAATCTGTCTGTGCCAAGAGCTTGCAACCAGAAGTGAATGTGTTGTATAGTTTCTGGCATGATGTGACATTTTCTGCATGTGTCATTTGTGAGTGTTGTATGTTTGAGTATGTGTTTTCTGTAGTTTTTAGTATTTGACCTGATCCTGTATGGCAATCATGAATCCTTCCGTCTCCTCAAAGAGGCATCCCCGATCTAACTGTTTGACACAGTTTTGTCAACAAAATCCTGGGCCAGGTCGTAAGGATGCCTGCCATGGAGTGCCTTTCGAGCCCACGATTGCTTAATGGTGTCTATGCTTTTTATGCATTGTGTCATGTCTGTATGATGTGAGTGTAAGTTTAATGGTGTGTTATTTGAGTCTGCTAGAGTTACTGCTTTATGTAACTGTGATGTTTCTTGTTTCTTGTAGAAAAACTCTCGCAGTGACTGTATTTGTTTGTAGTGAAGGTTAACTATGTCAATCAGGCCACGTCCGCCTTCTTTACGTGGAAGGGTTAATCTTTCTGTGGCGGATTTAGGATGATGTTGTTTATGCTTAGTAAGTGTTGTTCTTGTTTTCCTTTGGAGTTGCTCGAGATCTGTGTGAGTCCAATGTATAACTCCAAAAGAGTATGTGAGTACTGGGATGACATATGTGTTTATTGCTTTAACTGTGTGTTTTGCATTTAACTGTGTTCTAAGTATAGCGTTTAACCTACTTTGGTATTCTTTAATTAATCGTTGCTTTATTTGTGTATGTTCTGTTAGTTTGGCCTGTTGGA